TTTTTCAATATAAATCGTAATTTTTCAGTGATCCACAAAAGATTATCGTCGTGCAGCTGCTCGTGAAAGTGGGGGGTGAGCACCCTGCTGAGTTTAGAAGTGCACAAAAAGAACAGCTGGTAACAAAAAATTCCGCTGTAGAAAAACACGACTGAAAGTAAAACCTCGAGCAGAACATAAAAAATATACAGAATGAGTAAAAAAAAGGTGCCAATTAATAGAAAGGCACCGAGTGTGGGCGAAGTCCGCATTATACGCCAGCGCGTGTGTTGACGCTCTTGGTACCAGAGTCAACCCTGCGTTGCGCAGTTCGCAACGGCACGTTGAGAGATCCTCAACGCACGCTGTATGGGCGGAGACGCAGACGGCTCGAGCATGCGAGTGTGAATGTTCGCGCGAGAGAACGTGTCTAATCGGGCGAAACTGCGCAACGTGGCCGTTGAGAACTGCGCAACGCAGGGTTGACTCTGCTTAGCACCGCTCGCACGCCCTCCGGCCGAGTCGCGCACCGCCAGAAGCTATGAAAGGGAATTGGCGCGAATGTTACACAGTAAGTCATCAGCTGCGAGACAATGGCAGTAAACAAACTGAGCCTGCGATATCACAGTGGCCTGCCTACAGGGGAGAGAGGGTGGCCAACTGCCAACAAACCCAAGGTCCAAATCATCATTGTGATGTGACTCATGGTCAGTCTAATGAATATCGTCACTACGATGAAGTCCTGTATAGAACAAGGCCCTCTTCGTTGTGCATACTTCCACTTAATTGCGTTATCTCCCTTCCGATGTGTTGACCTCACAACGAAGCAAAAGCCGCAAAGTTTACGCAGGGTAGTCCCGGCGGTTGCTGGGACATGAACTGGTAGAATAGTAATCTAAAAACCCCCCTTTGTTTTCTTTTGTTGAGGCGTAGAATTTTTTTTTCCTTCCATGAACATACTTGTTCAACGGTGCATAGACCACCTTACAAGAAACGTATCGCCTGAGGGTAGGTGTTCAGGTCTCTGTGATAGAACTCTCTTCTTTGAATTCGCTGAAATCTAGGCAACGAAAGTTCGTGGATTGAGATGAGTAATTGGATTTTTCTTGTTTTCTTCTCTCAAAAGCGTTGCGAAAAAGGTGTGGACGGTTTGCTTTCGGAATGGCTGTGGCATCTGCGCATAGGGTCACCGTTGCTCAAGTCCTCTCACTTTCAGGATGGCGTTAAACTCTAGCAATTAGAAGTCCCGAATCGTTAGAGCTAAACTGGAAAATGCTTCCGCTCGTGAATCCACTTACCACACTTCACCCACTATTTAGCGCTGGTATAAGCTGGGTAGTCGATGGAGAGTATCATAAAAAGCAAACAGGAACCTACCCATGTCGAATCATAAGAGGAGCTAATTTGGGCTCAGGCATGCGAGATTCAAACTCTTTTCTAGAACTCTACAAGTCTTCGAGAATGTTTTCGTGCAGCACCTTGCCGCAATAGAAATCTCCGGCAACTTAGTGATTATTAATATTTTTCCTTACAACAGGCAGTCCATCCAGGCTGTCAATCACGGGTTAGTTGATGTATGGACGGAGAAGACAACCCTGCGTAAAGTGAATCTGCAGTGCACCCCTGATTGAAAGAGCATGTCCTCAAATTCCTCTGTTCATCCTGCATAGCCCGATGTTTGAAATCCCAATCGGTAATTATAATAAGAAAAAGGCTTTCAAAAGGTTCCAAAGTAACTGGAAACTTGGGCAGATCCGAATGGGTGAGCTGGTACGGTACATACGAAGCTTTGCAAAACATCAATGCTTTCAAAGAATGTCCATGGCAAGAAGTGTAAAGTGGCTCGGAAATTATGCAAAAAAAACTGATTGCTGCTCTACTATAAAATCGAGTTACAACCTACTGAAGTTGCAAGAGCCAGAAAACAGCTCCATGTCAACACCTCACACGGTCTCGGCGTTTTCGGCCGGGAATGGTTGATATCTTTTGCAATAGGTAAATTAAAGCAGCTCAGCTTTCTTCAGCTTTTTCATTGTTGCAATGTCACATTTTGACCCACCTGTATTCCGTGCTCTAAGCAGTACAGCTCCCAGCAGGCATTGCCGATTTGCACCCCAGCCTGTCCAACATGAAGCGAGACGATCTCGCGCTGAAATGATACGATCCTTGCAGCTATGAGTTAATGTGTTTACCAGGAACAAAAAAAAATTCTGAAGAAAGGGGAAAGGAGAATAGAGTAAAACAGTTAGAATAGACTGTCACTCCCGTCCCCGATCCTAAGCAGCGTCAGATATGCGATTTTTGACTGCACTTATTCAAATTTGTACGAAACACCTCCTATTGAGACACAAAGCTCTTCAGAGACGGTTTGGTGAGATGTTCGATCGTAGTGGCTTTTTAGAACTTTATTCTTCTCGAACCTCTCGCTTTCATATAATGAAAAGAAAAGAATGAAAAAGAAAACGGTGGTCAGCGAATCGCTTCTTGACTCATTGCTGCGGGTTTCTCTAAACGTAAAACTTGAATTGCATTTCAATAATCGGAACCCTGATTCGTAAAGGCAATCTCAACACATGAGACTTTGAGACGCGGTAACGCGTCTCACCCTTGTCATCCCTTTTTCTAGCGTATGCGGGATTCTTCCCAATTTGCTTGCCTCTATTCTATGGATTACAACATAACATAACTGTAAACGACATGGGTCACGGTATGATCAAATATGCTCCAGTTTAGCAGAAGTTTTTTAAGCACAGCGGAATTGGCAGCTCGGTTCATTCCTCGTTTTTCTTCCTATTCTCATGAACATGTCAGTGAGAAAAGGGTAGTGAAAGTAAATACAAACTCTAAAGGGATAGAAAAATATATGTTTCACTTGGCACATCCACATCGAAAATAGTTTTGGCATCCACTACAGAAAAAACGCGGAAGGCTACAGGCTATTACACGTTCTTTTGGTGGGCGCACTGAATATCGCTGAAATAGTTCTGTACCAGTGATGCTTTAAAAGTTATCATAAATATTTACGATTGCTAGGTGCGGCGGCCGCGCTCGCAAATCGCCCCTGTCCCACGTGGCCAAAAAAGCCAAAACGCGCGCTGCCGTCAATGTGTTAACCACCAAAACTCAAGATGAGACGTGTGCCCACACTATGTAGCTTTCATACATGCAGTCCAGAATTAGGAATACGATCTGCGTTCATTTGAATGGTGGCAATTTTGCAATATAGCGCGAAAAAAATTGTTGCTGTCTCTGTGATTTGAGAAGCTCAGATAAAAAATACATTGTTGCATAAGTAAACATATGTTATAGTGTAAAGAAGGCTCCAGAGAAAGGCATTTAGTGTAAAGAAGGCTCCAGAGAAGGCAGTTTCATTCTTGACTCAACAACGAATCCTCTCCCAACATAGATCAGTGCTCCTCAAACGAATTGAAGAAACCTACTGTTTACATTGATAAGTGTGACTCACAAACTAACCATTTTTCCATTTGGCGCCATTGTGTTGTGGAGAGTGGTGAAGGAAGCCGCCAGACGAAGTGAGTAAGAATGGCCGCAAAGGGACGCCGTTGCTATACCGACAGTTATCCACATATCAGTCCGCCCATATGGATATCAATAGCAAAGTACCATTATCGTTAGCTCCTGCACCCTAATCACATGCAGCCTGCAATTACACGTGTCGATTAATGGACCGTGAGGGTCATGTCAATATGGGAATAATATTTCGTTCGAAGTAATAGTGAGCAGCCAAGGAGGGGAGCCGTTGATGAGAATCTAACGTTGTTGTGAAGAGGAGGTTAAATTCTCAAAGGCTTTGAATACTTTGTTCCATGAGAACACCACGACGGTTAAGAGGTCTCGATGATGGGAGAACTTGAGCTAGGACGTCTTGATGATAATAAACTAAGGTGGCTATGACCCTTCTGTCATCACAATCCTTTCATCAAGACTCCTAGCCTTCATGTTCGCGCTACATGTTTTACATCCAGTGGGTCGTATTAAGGGTTTTCTGATAAATGTGTTCACAAGCTCGCTGAAAAATTCATTCCTGTATTAGTAATGAGTGTAAAGCCCTCACAAGGGGAGTCTTTCAGGGCTAGCCACGTTTTTTCAAAACGGTTTCTTGCATATTTTAGGGACACATGTAGGGAACACAAAGCTATATTTCATTCTCGCCGAATGGTTTTAGCAGTACCAGAAAAGAAGCATAAGGTACAGTTAATGGTCCGACCCCCTTGACTGCTAAATTTTGCATATGGGTTGGCGCTTCCAAGGTGGTGCCAAATCGCGCTAAATCGTCACAAACTCCGTAATCAATATTCATCTGTCAGGAAACATTTTAAAGCAACAAGTGGGCCGCAACTCTGTGATTTCGTTGCAGTGTCCCTAATATCCGCCAAGAAACCGTTTTGCCCCGGAAGACCCTCTTGTCAGAGCACTGAAGTACTGGCGTTTAGGATCTCGCTCCATTCACAATGCGAACACTGAGATTTCGATTACCAGGCGCTAGCTAGATCGATAAGTAATGTCATGTATTATTTGGCACCGATTAATAAATTTTTCTCAGGCTTGATAATGGTGTCAGCGCCGAAGAGCACATTTCAGTGACTAAAGAGTCATTCGTACGCCGGTTGGATTTTTCGTACTTCTATTATATATTGAAGTTCCGAAGTGTTGCATGCTACTCTGCGAATTCAGAAATGTATGAACCAGTACGAACTCCTCACCGACCCAAATGTTTTCATTTGTGAAGTTTATTAAGGTAGCGATGATATCCCAGCATACTGCTTTCCTTATCTGTGTTTTGTCTAGCCCAAATAAATATTGTGGGTAGCCGCGAGTATAAAAGCAGTCAAATGAGTAACATCCAGCTCAATGCCACCTGCAAAAGAAGACACATGGGCTTTCCAGGTACCCACAAAGTGGTTCCTTCTCATACCTCTGTGTACGCGAAATGTTCATGATTTCAGCCGATTGGGGCGCCATTCCCGGACCATCCAATCCGCGTGCCCGGGCAGCAAAACATGTACGTGGCTCTCTGGTACAAATACGGGAAGCCGATCCACGGACGAGCATGGAATAACAACGGCGGTGTGGAGTGTTCATTTCCATACAAGAAAGCAGAACTCACCACAAAACGTGAACTCGAAGGGCACATTCAAATTCTCACATATAAGGGCAACTACAAGACACTAGGATACTGGTGGGTTAATTTCAAAATCCAGGGAAGCTTCCTTACAGATGGTTTCCAGGTATGAATGGCTGCCACTGAAATCCCGATTCGACGACACTACAGATCGTGAACTTGTAAAGTGTGGGCAGTCAACGCCTATTCTGATGACATGCGCCGACAAGGAGAAACGTCTTGGATATCTCGACTTGAGCACAGAAGTCGCTATGGTCGCCTACAATAAAAAAGTGGAGCAAATAGCTGGCGGAGCCACGCAAGAGTGCCTCGGAATCTTCCGGAATTACAAACCACCACCAAATGTGATCGTTGAAGACGATCAATGGGAAGATACCAAATGGGGAAACGAGTTCCCGAAAAACGTTGAACCGGTGGGTCTATCCCTACTGTAAATAATTCGCTGTGTGTGTATGTGTGAGTCTGTCTGCGTGTGTGTGTGCAGTCTTCAGAAGTTGGTTTAGGATATGATATAGGAGGTGGGACGGGAACATATTTGGCGGGGACAGAAACTGATAACAACTGATAAGGGCTGATAAGCAACGTTAGATGGGAGGGTTCACGAAATTCATGGCGTGTGTCCCAGCAACACCGAGGCACCGATCCCAACATGTGAGACATGCCTGATAGGTGACTGAAAGCGATAACACATAGCGTGCGGCTTAGCTGTAAGGAGACGCTGTCTTTCGAAGGGTCATATTTGCTTGGTTACAAAAAATGAAAACAGCTGATAAGAGCAGATAAGAACAATTAGCCTGAGAATGGAGAAGTGACTGAAGGTGCTACTTGAATGCGCGATAACAAATGCATTACACTTCGCTTGCGATGTCGTAGTCAGCATCGGATCTATTGAAGATGATTGGTGTTTTTTGTGGATGAGTATTGTTGTTCTATTTTAGTGTTACCGGCATAAGAAGCGATGCAACCGCTAAACCATCCCAACAATCGAATCGAAGATAATTGTTTACATTAAGTTTTAATACTCAGCAGCTCGCGTAATCGTATTGGTTATCCAAAACCCAATCGGCCACTAGACCATGTTGGTTTCCGAAAAATGATGGATGTTTATGGGCTTGACGAGCTGCGGAAAATGACTGCCCCGGCACTATATTAGGTTTGAACGATTGAGATATCGCTTCCGTTTGTGCCTTTGTTTCTCAGCTTAACACAATCTCTTAGGATGGGAGACCATTCGAGAGAGCGATTCAGCACGCATATTGAAATCTTAGGCGCCACTGAGCGGATGTTCTTCGAGCCAAAACTTTTGCTCGAAGATGACTGATCAGAAATCATCGTCAGAGAGTATATATTCAAGCAACGAAAAACGGCCAACGAATCTCACTCATTGTGTGCAAACATTCAGCAGTAACTGGTTTCAGCTCTTCCAAGACTGAGGTAAAGGACCTGGCGATGAAGATCGTGGATTTTGACCTCTAGCTTTAGATGACGGAGAAATAAAGAAAGCCAACGAATTGAGTCCTCGACAAACCGCACAAAA